ATACTCCTCGACTTGAAGCTGGCATAACTCTTAAGACCTTATTACTTTTAAAATGATTGTTTATCAGGTCTTCGATTATTTAGGGAACACGTAGACCATTGTGAAAAAGTTCATAGATCTAGGAGTATCCATCCTTTGAGTAAAATTAATCTCTTACGGGGCTGAAGTCTAAACAGAACCAGTAAGAGCACTTAGTAACTTAAATTTCCCCCGTAAAGTCAATAGATACAGAAAGTACACTATCCATGACTGACATGACATTCAGGTGTAAATTTTTTTCCTGTTGCTGTTGATAAATTACAAGTAACTTATACAAAAGAGTATATGTTCTGAGATGTCAGATTTATCAACAATATAGTAGACAATTATTTTGTGAAGGAGCAAATACAAAAGCTGACTTTGAATATGCCACTCATAAGCACAATATAAGAGGAGACTGATTCTCTCCACAGAACATGAAAGGAAAACCTGTGGCTACAGCGCAGATGTAGAATCTTGAGAACCAGCAAGTATTCTCAACTATACCAAATAATTCCTATACAACTTTTCTGGCACTTTCAATGCTTCTAAATTGAGGGTGAAACTTTAATGTCCCAGGGGATATGGATATGATGAGGGAGCTAGAGTTGTGATATTCAACTTGTTACTGTTCCAAAATACATTTTAAAGCTCCCAAGACTGATCATTGGAACGTAAATTATCAATCAGTTCTATTTGTCATTATTTACAAATCTAATATAGTACAATGGATTAACACACTATGGGATAAACTTACTCTAAGACTATTCGAAGGCTGCCTACTCAACACCTATAGTTAATTTGTTTCTTCATACTGGTATCAGCAGAACCGATCGTAGATTCCCTTATATAAAAAAGTAAGCTTTGTTCCAACTGTTCATGTATATTGTTAGTACTCTTATTTTTATACACACACAGAGCTGTATGATAGAACAGTTAATCAACACATGCAGCCAATATAATTTTATTTCTAAGGGATGTACATGCTTACTATTTTTCCATTTATTTCTAGGGTATAAAACCAAAACAAAACCAAAGTGGCAATATAAAGAAGTGTTTTCTAAACAACATAGAACTTAACATTTATTTCTCAACCACACACTGATCACCAGGATACAAACAGAAGAGAAAAATAATGGTCTGTGACATACAGAATGTCAGAGCAGATACTTTACTAAACTCAAACAGACCATTATTCTATGAACAAAATGTTCAACCTCATACTGCAATGGCCAATTCACTGCTGTTATGAAGGCATCTTGTTTTCAGTTTCACATAATGAATTACAGGCAACTATTTTACAGCAAGTGTGCTCAGGCAAAGACAGGCAGACAGCAGCTGCTGTCTCCTCAGAAGCTGTCTTATTCCCCCTCAAGGAAAAATATTGTATTCCTTGTATACACTATGGACCTAAAGCCAAAGAGCGTGAATTTATCCACCCAACCATAACATGTACTTGAGGCAAATGCTCTATATGTTTAGCTTGGCTAGCTCACTGGGTTAGGAGGTGTGAAAGGAAAAAGCCCCTTCTTCCTTAGACTACAGAATGATTATATTGCTTGGCTAGGATTTCAGCACATCCCCTCCAGCTGCGGGGAAGGAATTAGGGGAAGAACAAAGCAACAAATGATCTGACCCCCATGCACATCTCTGCAGAGTTCCTCCCCTCTTTTTTTATGATGCTCCTGAAAAAGCTTCTAAATCCTACCCTCAAGATTTACTTGTGACAGAACATAAAGAGCATAAACTAATAAAATTCAAAGTCAAACAGAATTCAGAATGCATGCTAAACTATAAACAAAGATCTCACTAACCTGTTTCATCTCTCATTTCCAGACCCTTGGCTTTCAGTCTTGAATAAATAAATTCTTCTTTTTCCTAAAACATGTTTTTTCCACATTAGAATCTGATGTACTCAGTCCTTGAAGTTAACCATTGTTTTTGATCACATAGCAGTGTAGTGCTTAATAAATTCTGAAATAATAAGCAGTATTCATTATACTTGGAAATATCAACAAAACATTTTCCTGAATCCAGCGAGTTAGTTAAACTGGTAAGTTTGTCACTAGATCCTGCTACCTGCATGCATCAATTAATTCATGCAGGTGTTCTACTGAAACATATAAAACTTAATTGTGGAGCAAAGTTACAACTGAGCTTCAGTATTGTTTGACAGCATCCGAACCTTCAGTTTATAAGGCAAACTATGAAGATGTGCTGTATTGTATAACTGAGAATTTGAACATGGAGAAAACCATGCAGCCTTAAAAAACTGAAATTACTTAAATGGAACCAGAATAATTATTTGTACATAAGCTTTTCAAACTTAAAAAGCATTTCCATGGAATTGAAAAACAAGCTTTGTTTTTTCTCCGAGATCTTCACAAGTTTTGGGAAGATATGCTGATCAAAGATCATCACAAGTGAGTGAATTACTGAATCATTACTGTTCTCCCAACAAAATTCAGTGCCTCCTAACCAATGCTGCAATCAGGAAAAAAGACAGACCACAGCTGAAAAGTCCCCACTTTCAGCCTTGATGGGATACACTGCCAGTAAAACAGGGCATGTCCTTCATTTACCCTTCATGATCAGACCTAATTTGTCTCACTTATGACAGAGCAAGAAGAGCTGCAAAATCATTTTCAACAGCTGCTCTAGTCACAGACAGGTATTGCATGTAGGGTGGCTACAACTTTATATTTTCAGTGCAAGACAGGAAAAAGGCAAATTTCATGATACGACACTAAACAGCAACAGAATACACAGGCTTTTTAGTTTTGTACATCATTTTAAAGAGACGAATGACAAAAAAGCAATTTCCACAAAAAGACCACGCACATTAAAAGAAACGGTATCAATTCCCAGCCGGTAACGGCAGGCAGAACTGAACCCTACCTCACGGAGACCAAACCTCCCCAATTTCAGGTGGATGGGCGGGCGCCGAGCGGCACTGGGCGCGGTGGCGGGCTCACCTGGCAGAAGGCACGGTTGTGCCGCGCCCAGAAGCGCTGGTCACAGGCCTGAGCCTCCTGCCGCGCCTCCCGCAGCCGCCGCTCCAGGGACGACTCCTCGGGAGGAACGTAGAAGATGACCGGCCGCAGGTTGGAGTGCTTGTCGGGGGGACCGATCCAGTCGTTACGGGAGTGCGCGGGGGGGCTGAAACCCAGGGCCTTAAAAATACAGGCAGAATTCATTACGACCCCTGTAGCAGAGTTTTTCAGGAACGTCCTGATTTGAAATAAATTCCAGAACTCCAGGCAACCTTAAAACATATACGCATAGTAAGTTCAGAAATTATGCACGTTCATTTACCCTGGCCAAAAACGATGCGATAAACTTAAAATTCACTTTTCTTTAGAAATGCACTGCAGAGAAGATATATTTGACTCTTTTCCAGCAGACATGAAGCACTATTATCTTTTTTTAAAAAAGCAACTCCCCCTCCCTCCCCCCCGCATTTTTGTATCATTGCTATCCCACTTTATTAAAATATTTGATAGCAAGAACTGGCATGTACGTAAGTCCTCCTAAGCGCTGCTTTCTTTGTGCACCCTTGTGACCATACAGAGCCTGCAGCTTTTCAGGCCGGGGTTAGGAAGAACCGGCTCCAACAGCCCGTAACTTACCGCGCCGTTCGTACAAGCGTTTGACCTCCCCTTGTGCCTCGGCGCCCCATCCGCGCCGCCGGGGAGGGCCCGACGGGTATTTACAAACACTGGGGGGCGTTGGAAAACACAGCGATAAGGAGAGGCGGCGGGAAAGACAGGCTTTTTATCGGGACGCGCCCGCCCAGCGACGCTGAGAGTTACCGCGGGGGGGGCCTGCGCCGCTCCCCCCTCAGGGC